GTGTATGCTTGTTCTACACATTTGTTATGGGAATTACATGCTTTACTATAGTCTGGTTATAAAGTTGCATCTGTTCAAATATGCTGTAGAAAATAGGAACAATTTGTAATGATAAAGAGATTAGGTTGTCAAGAGATCTAACAATCCTAAATTTGTATGCAACTTACAGCAGGGGTTTGATATATGTGAAACAAAAAGTGAAAGGAGACTTAGAAAAATCAACAATTATAGTGAGTGATTTTAACCTTCATCTCTCAGCAATTAATAGAACAACTAGACAAAAACAACAGTGAGTGTATAGAAGACTTGAAAACATTATCAACCAACTTGACCTATTAATATTTATGGATTACTTTGTAAAAAGCAAAATGTATCTTTATTATGCTGGTTCATAAATCTCAATGAATTTAAACAGATTAAAATTACTTAATATGTCATCTAGCTGTAATATAATTATATAACAATTAAATTAGAATAATATAATCAAATCATATTTATATTACAGAATATAATTAAATTAGAAATCAGTAACAGAAAGGTATCTGGGGAAACTCCCAATATTTTGAAATTAAACAACATTTTTAAATGTTTATTTATTTATTTTGAGAGAGAGAGAACATGAGCAGGGAAAGGGCAGAGAGAGAGAGAGAGAGAGAGAGAGGCAGAGAGACAAAATCCCAAGCAGGCTCCATGCTGTCAGCACAGAGCCCAACATGGGGTTCAAACTCACAAACCCTGAGATTATGATCTGAGCTGAAATCAAGAGTCTGATGCTTAACTGTCTAAGCCACCTAGACGCCCCCAACATATTTTTAAATAGCCCATGGGTCAAAGAAGAAATCACAAGGAAACTGAAAAATATGTTGAACTGAATAAAAATAAAAACATACCAAAATGTGTAGAACACAGTGAAAGTGGTGCTTAGAGGGAAAAATCATAGCTCTATATGTTTCATTAGAAAAAAGGAAAATCTAAAATGAATTAGACTCCCACTTTAAGAAATTAGGAGAAAAAAAAACAAAAGTAGGAGTGAACGAAATAAAGATACTTTTGGAAATTAATTGAATAGAAAATGTGCTTCTTCTAAAAGACTAAATTAGTAAGCCTCTAGCTAAAGATCTGATCAATCAAAAAAAAAAGGGGTGGGGGAGGACACAAGTTACCAATATTGGGAATGAGAGAAATGAGCACAGATATTAACAGACATTAGTAAAAAAATAAGAGATTCTGCTTCTAGTGGTAGCTGAGTACTTCCTATTGGACTAGCCCTCCTGTAGGTAATAACTGTAAACTCTAGACTGAGTAGAAAAAATAACTACCTGAAGGTAAAGAGAGAACACCACAAGAAGATGTATACAGGAGAGGAGTTAATCCTTTTGTAAAATAAGAAAAAGAAAAGAAAGAAGGAAAAGAAGAAAAAAAAAAGAAATGGAACACTGTCAACTTCCCATTTGTATGGCTTTTTGTTTGAGGGAGAATTCCAGTTTTATCCTCAGTCCCAGGAGACAGAGTTTGGGACAACTAGAATAGCTGGAAAGTAGGGAATAATCTAAGAAAGGAAGTCCCAATTAGGAAAGAAGTCAAAAAGGAAGAAGACCAAATTCTGTGTACAAACTGCCCATATTTTTGGATGACACCTGAAACACACATGTGTGGAGCAGGCTTTTAAGGTATCTAAGACTCAAAAATTGAAAAGAGACATTGTCTCCTGTCTACCACAGCTGAGACTGACAGAACTGAAAAGAGAAACAGACAAATCCACAATTATAGTTGGAACTTTCTTTCCTTTTTTTTTTTAACTTATTTTAGTTGGAGATTTCAACACTCTTCTCTTAGTAGTTAGTATGAGATCTAGATTAAAATTTAGTGAAGACTTAAAGGTCTGAATAGTATTATCAACCACATTGACCTGTTACTATAAAGTAACATAAAGTGTCCTATAAAGGACACTGCACTCGACAACTGTAGAATACACATTCTTTTCAAATACACATGATTTGTTCACAAAGATAGATCATTTCCAGGCTATGAAACAAATCTCAATAAATTGTAAAAGATTAAAATCATACATTATGTTTTCTAACAATAATGGAATTAAATCAGAAATAAGTAAAGCAAAATACCTGGAAAATCCCTAAATATTCGTAGCTACTTAGAAGGTAATTTATAGCTTTAAATACTTGTTTTAAAAAAGAAGAGGGGCGCCTGGGTGGCACAGTCGGTTAAGCGTCCGACTTCAGCCAGGTCACGATCTCGTGGTCCGTGAGTTCGAGCCCCGCGTCGGGCTCTGGGCTGATGGCTCGGAGCCTGGAGCCTGTTTCCGATTCTGTGTCTCCCTCTCTCTCTGCTCCTCCCCCGTTCATGCTCTGTCTCTCTCTGTCCCAAAAATAAATAAAAAATGTTGAAAAAAAAATTAAAATATATATATAAATAAATAAATAAATAAATAAGAAGAAATGTGTAACTCATGATCTAAATTTCTACCTGAAGAAACTAGAAAAGGTAAAGCAAGTAAAGCCAAAGAAAGTAGAAGGAAGGAAATAATAAAAATAAAAGTATAAATCAATGAAATAGAAAACTAAAAACAGATTATATTTACAAGACCAAAGATTAGATCTTTGACATGTCCACAAAACCCATAAATTGTTAGCTAGACTGATTAAGAAATAAAACACAAATTAACAGTATCAGGGATGAAAAAGGAGTTATCACTAGAGATCCCACAAACATTAAACATTTTGAAGATTGAATCAACATTCCAAGACATCCTGAGAGGCAAGAGGTCAGCCATAGGATTTTGGCCACTCTAGGAAAGGAACATAGCCATGAGTGAGACAGTTCTCTTGAACTGAGGGAGTTCCTAGAAGGTAGGGTAATGAGCTCTTCATGCCAGGTAGTGTGTCTCAACAACTACCACCAACTTGTGAGAGGAAGAGAAACAAATGTGGGGAGAATCAGGTCTTTAAGACATAAGAATTATTCAGCAAAAGAAGGGGGGGCACCTGGGCAGCTCAGTTGGTTAAGTGTCCAACTTTGGCTCAGGTCATGATCTCATGGTTTGTGAGTTTGAGCCCCACGTCGGGCTCTGTGCCGACAGGTCAGAGCCTGGAGACTGATTCAGATTCTGTCTCCCTCTCTCTGCCCTTCCCCCGCTCACACTCTGTCTGTCTCTCTCTCTCAAAAATAAATAAACATTAAAATTAAAAAAAAAATTTTAAAGGAAAAAATAAATTAGGTAAAGCTTCCTGGAAGATGTCCTAAAAAGACAGGCTGGATTTAGACAAAGGAAAAGAAGAACATTTCCCCCTGAGGAAATACTGTGACACAAAACAAAGAACTGAGAAAAGTAACAGCTAATTTCTAAAATTATATAAACTTTATGTGAGTTTACAAGTATGCTGTGGGTAGTCTTTTAAAAAACTTTTTATTTTGAAATAATTATAGATTCACGGGAAGCTTAAAAAAACAATGTAAAGGGAGGTCCTGTGTACCAGTACCCAGCTTTCTCCAATAATAACATCTTTTGTTGACTATACTACAATATTGAAACCAGTAAATTGATGTTGGCATACTCTAAGAACTTATTCAGATTTCACCAGTTTTCCACACACTCGTGTGTATGTGTGTGTGTGTGTACATGTGTGTAGTTCCATTCAGTTTTATCACATGTTTAGATTCATGTAACCACCATCCCAATCAAGGATCCCTGGTGCTACCCTTTCATAGCCAGTCAATTCCTGTCTTTACTGCCCCCAACCCCACCTCGTAACCCCTGGAAGCCACTAATCTATTCTCCATCTCTATAATTTTGTGGCAAGCATGCTGTCTTTTCAGTTAAAATATAGCTTTAATCAGACCCATTGTTATTTTGTGAGAGTAAAATTTTGTGTGAGCATCTTCACCTGGGACTTTCAAACTTCTCTTGAATCTTTTCATTTAGTTGTCAAATGTTCCAGGACAAGTTTTACCAAAGTTATTGCAAACCAACTGTCTTTAAATTTGTATTCTCTAGTTCTTCCCTCTTACTTCTAGAAGATGATTTTGTCAAATACTTTATACAGCAACTGTGCCCATCAGATGTGAGTGTTTTTTACCTCATTAGGTGTGGCTGGTTTTTATTTTTGCTTTTATTTTGCTTTTAGTTTTGCTTATTTTTAGTTTTATTTTTAACAGATTTACTATCAGTATATCTTCATTGATGCTTTCTTCCACTTAAAAAGCATAAACATTCTTACTAATATCTGTTATTTACTGTGGAAACTTTCTCTGAAAGTGTTCCCTCCTCTAAGATCATTATCTGATCCCCCCATTTCTGTCATCCCCATTTAACTGCTTATTTCATGTGCACACATGTTCTTAACCCTGTTGCAAGTGAATATTGATTATCTGTGTCAGACAAAGTCCTAGCCACAAAGAGAGATGCAAACTGTATATACTAACAGCTTAAGTTCAGCCAGGGCACACAAGTCTGATCCTATTAACTAATAGGATGCCAAAATATTTCTGTACTAGTTGATAAATAGCTGATACCATAAGACCCTAGTTCCCTAACCCACAACAATAACCTTAGGCACAACTAGGTCCCATCTCTGAGACCCATATGACAACCTATTATCCAGCAACCAAAGGTCTGGCATTATAGACAGCTTCTGTTATGATATTTTGAATATCATTCCTTTTTCTACCAATAAATACAATGTGGGAAAATGTGATAAAATGCTATATTAATGATTTTTAAAGTTTTATGAAACCTCAGAGAATAAAGTACTCTTTGACAATAGCAGGTAAGGTGAAAAGTGAAGAGAACATCCAGGAAAAGTTTACAGAGTATATTAGTGTTTCCCAATTTTTGATAAATAACAGTAATAATAAATACCATTTATTAAGTGTTTACTATGTCATGGGCTCTGCACCAAATTCCTTTTACAAACATTTATTACATTTATTCCTCACAAAACTGCAAGACATATATAATTACAATTTTATTTTACAGAGAGCATTGTTGGTCTTCAGTCAATTCATACTGATACAGCTGAACCAGTTATTCAAAGCCATCCATTTTTATTAGTCACAGTGTTTGTTGTTATCCATCTGCACATGGACTACTCCAATTATTAAGAATTTTGAACATCATTCCTACAGGTAAGAAAATGGAGACTAAGAATAAATCAGTGGCCAAAAATCATGTAACAAAGAGCTAAGTTTTTCATTCTTAAGTCTAAAGTTCATACTCTAAATCACTTTCTTAACTACATTTCAGAAATGTGGTTTTTCCTCATATCTTTTAGGAAGATAAAATGGTACCATATGTTTTTTAACTTCCTAAAGCCTGCCATAAAAACAAACAGAGGAAGTAGGGTAGGGAAGCCAAAACATCAATAACACACTAGGTGACAAAGTATTCTCATGAACTAAAATTTGAGTAGGTAGTAATCAATCTCCAATAGTAACAAACATGCATGGCATTATCAGCAGCTACACAGGAGGGAGCAGAGAAAAAAGAGGGTTTTCTGATAGCCCTGAGAGCTGGAAAGTCCCCAAATTACTATAAGTATTCTCAGAAATACTCATAAGGCCAATCTGAGAATAGCCAAAACTGGATGAAGTTTTGAAGACTCCCAGTCCCAAATAACAGTAGGACGAGAGCAGTCTGAGTCCTATAAACTCTCAATTCTAAGTGATGGAAGTTTTCTTTTTTTTTTTTTTTTTTTTTAAAGAACACATATTGTGCGATTCCATTTATTTTTTTATTTTTTTTTTCAACGTTTATTTATTTTTGGGACAGAGAGAGACAGAGCATGAACGGGGGAGGAGCAGAGAGAGAGGGAGACACAGAATCGGAAACAGGCTCCAGGCTCCGAGCCATCAGCCCAGAGCCTGATGCGGGGCTCGAACTCACAGACCGCGAGATCGTGACCTGGCTGAAGTCGGACGCTCAACCGACTGCGCCACCCAGGCGCCCAGTGATGGAAGTTTTCTTACAGGACAAAGCCCACATTAAGAAACTGCTGAAACTAAAATTGAGCAGAGCAAATTGAACAGTTAGGAATAGAGAAGGCAAAGGAAACAAGAGATGCAATCATAGGGGGAGGAGCACTTTATGAAAACAACATAAGAGGGAGCTCTAGAACTGAGACATTAAGAAGGTTATCCTTAGGTTACATCCTCCACTAATCTAGAAATACCTCACTTAAGCATGAGCAAGCATGGCACAAAAACAGACACATAGACCAATGGAATAGAATAGAAACCCCAGAACTAGACCCACAAACGTATGGCCAACTAATCTTTGACAAAGCAGGAAAGAACATCCAATGGAAAAAAGACAGTCTCTTTAACAAATGGTGCTGGGAGAACTGGACAGCAACATGCAGAAGGTTGAAACTAGACCACTTCCTCACACCATTCACAAAAATAAACTCAAAATGGATAAAGGACCTGAATGTGAGACAGGAAACCATCAAAACCTTAGAGGAGAAAGCAGGAAAAGACCTCTCTGACCTCAGCCGTAGCAATCTCTTACTCGACACATCCCCAAAGGCAAGGGAATTAAAAGCAAAAGTGAATTACTGGGACCTTATGAAGATAAAAAGCTTCTGCACAGCAAAGGAAACAACCAACAAAACTAAAAGGCAACCAACGGAATGGGAAAAGATATTTGCAAATGATATATCGGACAAAGGGCTAGTATCCAAAATCTATAAAGAGCTCACCAAACTCCACACCCAAAAAGCAAATAACCCAGTGAAGAAATGGGCAGAAAACATGAATAGACACTTCTCTAAAGAAGACATCCGGATGGCCAACAGGCACATGAAAAGATGTTCAGCGTCGCTCCTTATCAGGGAAATACAAATCAAAACCACACTCAGATATCACCTCACGCCAGTCAGAGTGGCCAAAATGAACAAATCAGGAGACTATAGATGCTGGAGAGGATGTGGAGACACGGGAACCCTCTTGCACTGTTGGTGGGAATGCAAATTGGTGCAGCCGCTCTGGAAAGCAGTGTGGAGGTTCCTCAGAAAATTAAAAATAGACCTACCCTATGACCCAGCAATAGCACTGCTAGGAATTTATCCAAGGGACACAGGAGTACTGATGCATAGGGGCACTTGTACCCCAATGTTCATAGCAGCACTCTCAACAATAGCCAAATTATGGAAAGAGCCTAAATGTCCATCAACTGATGAATGGATAAAGAGATTGTGGTTTATATACACTATGGAATACTACGTGGCAATGAGAAAAAATGAAATATGGCCTTTTGTAGCAACGTGGATGGAACTGGAGAGTGTGATGCTAAGTGAAATAAGCCATACAGAGAAAGACAGATACCATATGGTTTCACTCTTATGTGGATCCTGAGAAACTTAACAGGAACCCATGGGGGAGGGGAAGGAAAAAAAAAAAAAAGAGGTTAGAGTGGGAGAGAGCCAAAGCATAAGAGACTGTTGAGAACTGAGAGCAAACTGAGGGTTGATGGGGGGTGGGAGGGAGGAGAGGGTGGGTGATGGGTATTGAGGAGGGCACCTTTTCGGATGAGCACTGGGTGTTGTATGGAAACCAATTTGACAATAAATTTCATATATAAAAAAAAAAGCATGAGCAAGCAAATAGATCACACAACTGAATCCTTTATAAAGTTATTGTTGAAGAAGATCATTAAGAAGACAGTGACCTGTGAGCTGGACTCAGGCACTAGGTGGCTCCTCATCCCCTTTCTGTCCTTGGAATGTGGGTTCTACTTGACTTTCTCATGCCCAGAGGCTGCCCCAGAACATAGTATTGAGATGGCGATGTGGTGTTGAGAACACCTGCATGGTATATGTGACTGAATCCAGTTAAGGCCTCTATATAAACTTTTAAGAGTTGGCAGGCCAGCACAGAGACTCACTTATCTTGCTGCCACCAAACACAAACCTTGTATATAAGTTCCTTTTGCTGCCACCTACTAACCTAGAATGGCTTGTTTTTCTTTGGTCTCTTCTGGCCCTCTGTGTACAGGGGCTAGTTTCAGATTTCACCTAGGAAGCTCCTGAGAAGTTTCAAACCAATGGTTACTGTAAGAAAAAAGGAGTAAGGAACAAAATAACATCTCTATACACAATTAAGGCACACTAAAAAGAAATGCCCACAAATAGGTGAAAACATCACAATTCCCAAATCAGGCAAAAAAGTGAAATATTAGCCCAAACTTTATTAATCTGATTTAAAACAATAGGGGTGCCTGGGTGGGTCAGTCAGTTAAGCATCTGACTCTTGATTTTGGCTCAGGTCATGATCTCATCATTCATGGGTTAGAGCCCTGCATTGGGCTCTGTGCTGACAGTGCAGAGCCTGCTTGGGATTCTCTCTCTCCCTCTCTCTGCACCCCCCTGCTCTCTCTTTCTCAACATAAATAAACTTACCCCCCCCCCCCCCAAAAAAAAGATAGCAACAGCAAGAACAGACAGAGACAGGGAGCTCAATAATCCCCCAGGACTTTCAAAAAAAACTTAGGTATATAATAAAAGAAGTACTAAAAACCTAAAGAGAAGAGAAAATGCTAAAATAAGAAAGAGGAGGGAGAAAAGGACATAAGTATAAGAAGGATGGCTGATTTCACTTCAGAAAAAGATGAAGGTCAGAAGAAAATGAAACCTCTCCACTGTGATGAAAGGGAAGAAACTGTCAACCTAGAATCTAGATTTATGTTTGAAGACCTACTATTAAACATGCTTGGTAAAAGAAAATATAAAATAAATTTACAAAGTTTACAAAAAAGACAATAAAATCACTACACACTGAAACCTATGGGATGTATGTAAAGTAGTGATCAGAAGAAAATTCAATACACTAGATACTATTGTCAATCAAAATTAAAGAATTAAAATAAGTGAATTAAGTTCCCAGATACAAAATGAGGCAAAAAAGCCCTATAAGCCAAAAGAAATCAAAAGAAGGAGATAATGAGAGTAAAAACACAAATTAGTGAGGTAGAGAATAGAAAAGCAGCAGACGTAATTAGGTCAAAATCTGGTTTGAATAGATTTATTGAAATGCATGTAATCACTTAAAGTGAACAATTCAACGACTTGTACTATATTTGTTTGTGCAACGATGACTGCAATCAATTTAAGAACGTTTTTTTAAAGTTTATCTATTTATTTTTGAGAAAGAGAGAGAACCAACAGGAGAGGGGCATAGAAAGAGGAGGACAGAGGATCTGTAGCAGGTTCTGTGCTGACAGCAGAGAGCCAGATGTGGGGCTCAAACTCATGAACCGTGATATCATGACCTGAACTGAAGTCAGACATTTAACCAACTGAGCCACTAGGCACCCTTCAATTTTAGAACATTTTAATCACCTCAAAAAAGAACTCCTACATGCCTTGGCTGTCAATCCCCAATATCCTCACTCACTTTCCCAGCCCTAGGCAACTAGTACTTTATTTCCTGTCTCTATAGATATAAACTATTCTAGCTATTTATAAAAGAATCATACAATATGAAGTCTATGTGACTGGTTTACACTTAGCGTAATATTTTCAATGTTCATCACTATATCAAAATCATTTATAAAATCTATAGATAAAAGAGAAATGAGAAAATTTTGCATATAAATGTTAACTATGGTATTCTTTAAAATATTAATAATTGGAAAATTGTGAAAATCAGGGCACCTGAGTGGCTCACTCAGTTAAGCTTCTGACTTTGACTCAGGTCATGATCTCACCATTCATGATTTCAAGCCGCACGTCAGGCTCTGTGCTGACAGCTTAGAGCCTGGAGCCTGGTTCAGATTCTGTGTCTCCTTCTCTCTCGGCCCCTTCTCTGCTCATGCTCTGTCTCTCTCTCACACACACAAAAAAATTACATGAAAAAATAAAATTGTGAAAATGCCTAATGGTAGGAGAATGATTAAATAAGGATTTGGGAAGATGGTAGTGGAATAAGAGAGCCTTAAGTTCACCTTCACCTATGAATACAAATAGATGACTGTCAATTTATCTTAAATACCCCAGAAAGTGACCTGAAGACTGACAGAACAAACTCTACAACTAAAGGGAGAGAAGAGTCCACATCAAAAAAGGTAGGAAGTGCAGAGATGGAGTTTGGGAGAGAGACAGATCAAGGTTGCTGTGGTAGGGAAGGAGCTG